CAAGGTTGCTATGGTATTCAGTTAATATACCTTGAGATATGCTTTGCTAAAATAACAATGTCTTATGTAATATATAAAATATGAGCGGGAGACCTTTATGGGCATTTAAAACTGCGAGCTGCAAGCGAGCAGTTTTATAGCCCATAAAGGTCGGACGCGAATATTTTATATTGCTTATCAAATTCCAACATAAGGTAAAGCATATTTCGAAAAAAACTTCAGGATAAAATATCATTTGTAAGAGAAAATCGAAGTTAAAGTCGTATGCAAATCAGGACAAATCTCTTGCTCATATAAAGATGCGGTCACGGCAATGATTTTCCATTGTGTTTACCTTATGAATTATTAATGAATCTAATGAATAAAGAATACTAATAAGGGTGACCTTTATCAGATATAAAGGTCCATGACCCTAGCAAAGTTCTCAGGTTTGATACCTGATCATTGACCAATGCAGGATGTGAACCGATAGCAGTAAAACAGCCATTAGGACTTCTATGTTACTTTATGCATATTCAATGTGGGATGACAAGAGTGCGCATGATCAGTTTGCCCCATTGATCTCAAAACTTATTTTTACGRCAATTTTTCAAGAATTTTAACGGATTTGAGTTTCAAATTAGTGTTGGAGTTTTTGAAGCCGTTTAAAACACTCTCTCTCGTGTTTTAAACTATAGATAAAATATTCGCTTCCGACCTTTATGGGCTTTAAAACTGCTCGCTTGCAGCTCGCAGTTTTAAATGCTCATAAAGGTTTCCCGCTCAAATTTTAGATATTACATAAATGTCATACATGTAGATTGTAGTGGAATTGGAAAGACACGATTAATTGTTTTGTAAGTGATTCTTTTTAAACTTTTTTACAGCTGCATCCCTGCTCAACCATTCATCAATTCCAGTGACATATGTTTTCGATATTTATACCCCGATGGGCACTGTAAACATATCTTGGCTAATACCTCTCTTTTTGCCAATCCTCGGCAACAGAGAAGTAGCGAGCATAGTCTAACTCTGTTTGAAAATGGTCGAAAGATGTTAGAAGCTTATAACCTTAAAGTCAGCAAGCCTTGCTTGAGACTGTTCTACATAGCGTACTGTCCTTGGAATTTCCCAAAATGCGATGTGACTTCTAATAAGGTGATGGGGATACCACTTTGCAAAGAAACCTGCGAATATGTCTCTAAAGTTTGCGCCAAGGAGCTGGAAATGGCCAAAGGCTTTAATAAACAACAAGCTGGATCAGGGTATGCTGTATACTGGAAAATCATCAACTGCACTGATTTTAAGTACCGTAATGGTGGAGACAACCCAGAGTGCTTCTATCCGAGGGAAATGAACTGTAAGAATGTGTTTTCAGTATGATTTCTTTTATTACGATTATAAAAAAAAACTGATGCAACTCAACTGACTGCAAAACTGTGGGTTTTTAATCTTTTCTWATCCTATTTGCAGCTGAAACAGACAAACTTCAAGATAAGGGTATGCAGTTTATSAAGAAATCTATAAGGGACTTGAAACGTGTAGCTCTGTGCCAATGTGCCYCTGTGGAATATTCAAATCTAATTAGCATCTCATTCAGTCCTTATTTGGAACAATTCAATTTACCCTAGCCAACCAGAACGGGCCTTATATCTCTTATCCAAAGGCAGAATTTTCCAAATATGGTCATATTATTTGTCTTCGAATTTTTTAAAGTTTTTTTTTCATTAAAATGAGCTTTGAACGCTTGGTGCTAAAGAAATCAGTGCACGGGCGCTACACGTTTCAAGAGAGTCCCTTGTAGGTTTCTGGATTAGCTTGTAAGCTTTTCCTTTCGTAAACAATCCAAATGCCACTTTATTTTATGAGGTTGGGATACAATTGTAGCTCCTTTTTTGGAGAAAGAGGCCCTAATAACGACAATTTTGGAATTGAGCACTTAAACCAAATAATTATTTTTCTTGCACACAGAGGTCGTCTGTATTATCCAATGTTATTTTTGATTTTGTAGAATGTTATTACGGAAATGGTCTCGGTTACCGCGGAACAATTAGTACGACAAAATCAGGTCACGTGTGTCAGGCGTGGTCATCACAATGTCCTCATCGTCACGATCATCCATTGGCTGAATATCCTGAACTGGTTAATGCTTCCAATTGGTGCCGCAATCCAGGAGGCCAGGCACCTAATGGTCCATGGTGCTATACGTCCAGTAGAAGCAAACGATGGGAGTACTGTGGTGTGAAGAAATG